GTATCTTCAGATCCCCACATAAAAACTGACACTGACTGGAGAGCAAAATTTCAAAAAAACATGGACAACATTTTACAACCAAATTTGTGACAAGGTATCTCCACAAGCCCAAAATACAAGCAAGAGGGGACAAACATGCAATAGCCACCAGGCCTGCATGGAATCAGCATCGGTGCAGGAGAAAGGGATGGCAACTCGTATCAAAAGGACTCAGGAGCCAACTTCATGAGACTCCTCTGGCCAAAGTTGGGGCACTTGGCACTTCAACAGTGACAACAATTCCAATGAATGGAAACCCATAAAGTATATACAAATCCACAAGTATATAATGATATTTTTTTAAATAGTCATCTTTTGAGGATATCAGGAATCCAATTAATTATCTTGAAAACTGGTGGAAATAGAAAGACTCAAGCATTTATTCTGCTTTCCTCTGGGAATGATCTACTCAGAAACCAAACAGTAGATAAAAGAATATTTCTCTTTATAAAATAATTTCAAATAATAAATAAAAGGAAATGATAGAATTTATGACACCATTTTGCAGCCCTCAATAGATTAATGCATACAGACACTAAGCATCAGCACCTGAGAAAAAAAATCACAAGCATAGAGACAACTAGGTTTATATGCCACTTACAATCTTGCCAAATCTGAATCTGATCCAGCCTCTGAATCCAGCCACCAGTTTGCAGGAAATACTGTGGACACAGGATTGTTTAGAACTGCATCATCGTATGTAATGAGCCAAATCCAGACTGTGGTAAACTCTACCAATCAAATGGCCAAGGTTCACCCACAAATAAATTATAAAGAATTAAGAAAGGGATGAAGGGAAGACTTTACAGAATAAGAGACTTAAAGATGTATCACTTGTTTTTATTTTTTTAAAGATTTTATTTCTTTATTTTTAGACAGAGGGGAAGGGAGGAAGAGAGGGAAACATCAATATGTGGTTGCCTCTCATGTGCCCCCTAGCGGGGGACTTGGCCAGCAACCCAGGCATGTGCCCTGACTAGGAATGGAACCGGCAACCCAGGCTGATGCTCAATCCACTGAGCCGCACCAGGGCGTATTTTTATTTATTTTTAAAAAGATTTTATTTATTTATTTATTTATGTACATATGTATGTATGTATTTAGAGAGAGAGGGAGGAAGGGAGGGAGAGAAACATGAATGTGCGAGAGATACATGGATCTGTGGCCTCTCATGGGCCCCCAACCAGAGACTTGGCCTGTAACCCAGGCATGTGCCCTGACCAGCAATTGAATCAACCACCCTTCGGTTTGCAGGCCGGTGCTCAACCCACTGAGCCACACCAGCCAGGGCCAGTTCTAGTTCTTTACATGGCAGTGGTAACAGAAGTGTTTGCTTTAGAATTATTCATTAAGCTTTACATTTGTTTTGTGTGTTTTCTACATTTATGCTTTATTTTATGAGTCATTTTTAAAAGAATAACAATAGAGTGTTATGAACATTTCCATGCTAATAAATTCAATAACTTAGATGAAATAGACAAATTCCTTGAGAAACACAATTTACCAAAACTAATTCAAAATGAAATTAAAAGTTTGAATAGCCTTACATGTATCAAAGAAATTGAATTTGTTATAAAAAAAACTCGCCATAAAGAAAACTCCAGGCCTGATTATTTCACTGATAAATTCTATCAAATACGGAATAATACTGCCAATCTTACACAAAAGCTTTTAGAAAACAAGGGAGGAGGAAACCATTCCTAACTCTTTTAAGAGGTCAGCATAACCCTTATACTAAAACGTATAAAAAGTTTATCAGACAAGTGGAGAAAATTGAACACAAACTATACTTTATTATATTGAGAAATTATTAATTTTAGGTGCAATAATGGCAGTAAAAGTCCTTATTTTTTAGAGATACTTACTAAAACATTTACATGTGAATTGGAATTCTACTTTGAGGTTTGTTTCAAAATAACCTCAGTTACGGGAAGAGTAGTTGAGGGAATAAATAAACCAAGATAGGCCATGAGTTGATCATTTTTAAAGCTGAGAGATGGGTACATGGAAATTCATTTTATTATTTTCTATATTTTTGTATATGCTTGAAATTTTATATAATATAAAACATAAATAATTGCAAATGATTAAGCATTAAATACAGGGTCTGGCAGAAGTAACACCTGCTTGAGTGTGGTTGGCAGGGTAATAATATGGGTCTAATAATTTATAGTTTTAATTTCAACATTTCACCTAAAATGCCATATGGTGTTCTTCAGTGTGATATTGTTATGTTATAGAATTACATGCTTATGATTTTGTAATAAAAAGGGGCGTTATTTGTGCCAGACCCTGTATATAAAAACTACAAGTTCACAACAATAATTTAAAGAGAAAGTGAAACAAAATCAACACCAACTTGCTAGGACACCAACCAACTACTTTGAAAGAGAGAAATAAAGAGATTTAAGCATTTGTCTTGACATTCTGGTATGAACTTTATTTCAGGGTAACCAAATGGTCCTAGAGGAGGTGAAAAAAATTTTTTTTACAGAATTAGAAACAATAAAAGAAAAAATAATAGTATTATAAAGTTATTATTTTGTTATTGCTGGTGAAATAACCAATTCATAAAAAGGTCATTAATGGATGATAAACCAATTTGGTGAAAAGCTGACAGGGAACCTTCTGATGCAGGATCAGGCTATCGCCACCTGCAAACGTCAGGAGCCTGGCACCTGAAATGCCCAATGGAAGACAGCTGTCCAGCCAGCACACCTGTGCTCCTGTGTAAGTAAAAAATAAATCTTTCTGTGTGTGAAATCACTGAAATATGGGGCAATTCATTATAGAAGTTAGCTTATTATAAAAGTATACCATTTATATATATTAGAAAACATAAGCGCATAATTATATATATTTAAAGACACATACATTACAAAGACATATTGAACACATTAGAGTGTATGCGTTTGGGAGAGGAATAAGGATTAGGAATGAAAAGCAACTAAAAGAAGAAAGAGACCTAGTATCAACTGATGATGAGAGTTTAACTCTTAAGGAATAAAAAATAATTTAAAAAAGAGAAAATTGCCCTGGCCAGATAGCTCGGTTGGTTAGAGCATCATCCTGATACACTAAGGTTGTGGGTCTGATTTCCGGTCAGAGCACATACAAGGATCATCCAATGAATGCATAATTAAGTGAAATATCAAATCAGTGTTTCTCTCTAAAAATCAATAAATAAAATTTAAAAAATTAACCAATGATTGCATATATAAGTGGAACAACAAACTGGTGTCTTTCTCTCCCTTCCCCTCTCTCTCTAAAACCAATAAATAATTTTTAAAAAGGAGAAATATCTACCCCTTCCAGAGAAAGCACAGGCTAGTTTGCTGGTAATTATATCCTGCCTAGAGGAGCACAGAATGGTTCTGGAGAGGAGGCAATCATGTCCACTAGCAGAGTCTCAGGCCTGAAAAGTTCCCTAAACTGAGAATTTCTCTCAAGTCTGATCATCACTCTCACCTCTTCCTGATAGTGATGACACTGGAGTCACTTGCCTTTCCCCAGACACGGGGCCTGGACCTAGCCACCTCCCCCTTGGTACCGGGCTGAGGGAGGCTGCACAAAGCACAGACGCTCATTCTGTGCCTGGGTGCATGTTCCTGCTCAGCCTTCATCTCTGCCTGTGGTTGGATAATGGCTTCACCTCCAAAGATGCTCATGTCCTAATTCCTACCTCACCTTATCTGGTAAAAGGGACTTTGAAGATATGGTTAAGTTAAGGATCTTGAGATGGGAAGATGATCCTGGATTACCACAGTGGACCCAATGTAATTACAAGGACATGTAATCACGATGAAACAGGAGAATTAGAGAAAGATGTGAGAATGGAAGCAGAGGCCAGAGGAGTGAAAAGGCTATCCTGCTGGCTCGATGATGGAGGAAGGGACCATGAACCAAGGAACGCAAGCAGCCTCTAGAACCTGGAAAAGGTAAAGAAATGGATTGTCCCCTAGAGTCTCCAGAAGGAAGGCAAGCTTGTCAACACCTTGACTTTAACCCAATGAAACTGATTTCAGACATGTGATCTCCAGAACTGTAAGATAATACATTTGTGTTGTTTAAGCAATTAAGTTTATGGTAAGTCATTATAACAGCAATAGGAAACTCACACGTTGGCCCTGCTGCTAGGCAGCACTAACCTGTTCTCTCAGGAAAGTAGCGTCTGTGAGAGTGCGAAGTGGAGAATCAAAGAAGACTTCCTGGAAGTCTCTGCAGTCAGGCTGAACTAGGTTTATATTACCATTCATTTATTACCTCTCTCACCCTGATCAAATGCCTAAGCAATGATACATCATTAATAAGGCATTGTTTATAGGGTTGCTAAGAATCAAATGTTTTTAAATTACCTATCGCCTAATGACCCACTTAAAAAAATAAGTTACATCTCCTTGTGGGTTTACACATTCATTCCTCCATTCAGTCGGCAGATGTCACTGAACACCTGGTATGTGCCTTGTACTGCATACACAGAGAGCTTGTGGCCACTACAAACTGTTGGGAACAAGGAAATTAAGAACTAAATTTTAACCTTAATAGACAAGAACCACATTGTAGCTGAAAAGAAATGATAAAAGAGACAGAGTACAGTTAAAGCAAACATCCTGTGTCTGGCAGACACTCTCCCCTGGGTAGGCTAGATAAGCAGTGCTTTGTAGTTTTTAATGAGAAAATAGAAAACTAGCTAGCTAGAGCCAGGAGATTACTAGGTTAATGAACAAAGATCCTCAAAAAGGAGAAAACTGTATATGAACAATAATTAATAAAAAAAAAAACAAACATCCTGCCTTCCCGCCTTATGAAAGAATGCTTGGTTTGAAATTCCCGCGCGCGGTCTTTGTAAGCGAATTACTAACTGCCACGTCTGCTTCTGTATAACGCTTGCTTGCCTGCCCATATATAAGAACGTAGTTGTAAGCGCTCGGGGCGGCTCTCGTTTGCAGCTCCTTGTGGGCACTGTGTCGCTGGACACTTTAAGAGTTCGCCCCTGCGCAGGCTAAACTTGGCCAATAAAGTAACATCTTTGATACCCTGAAAGTCTCCGATATTTGTTCTCGAGTTTGCTGGATGCTACACAAACCCCAAGCTGCCAGTGCTCAGCCTCACTGCCCACATCCTAAATGCACACCCTTACACTTGCCCACATATACCCACCCCAGCCAGCAACACCCCTATCCTGCCAGGTGCTGTCTCTGCAGCTGCCAAGGGCAGTCTCATCTCTGCCCTTACCCTGAGCCCTGACTACAGCCGCAGGCCCACCTGGAGGACAGTATGCTCCCTCTGATCATACTTACAACACTCTGTTTTCATCTTATTCTCTCTTATCTCTCTGTACCTCTCTCCCTTTTCCTCCCTTCTCTTTCTATGAGCTACTAAACAGATCCTCCTTATAGCCTAGGAAGGCCTAAATTAACAGAAGAGCTAAGCCTCAAGCAGCCAGTCCAGCAGTAGGTAAGAGGGACGAAGGATGGGTGTTTACTGGGTTCCTAAACTACTCTGGCAGTGAAATAGGGCCTAAGGTATTGAGCAGGATGCCCAGACCTTCCTGGAGTGTCCAGGCATCCCAATTTACCTCAGCTCTCCAGCTCCTCAACCCTCAGATGCCTATCCAATTGAGCTAGAATCCCATCCCCCAAGCTGTAGAGCCCCCCAGGACTCCACAGGACCCACCTGGACCTCCTAATCTCAAACCTCTCCACCTCAGCCCCTCCCTTTAACATCCAGGTTTGAAATGCTGAGTTCTGCCCCCATGACTCACCCTCCCTACCCAGAAAAAAATGGCCCAGGATTGATTTTCCTTACATCTGTCGTCCAGATTAGTAACCAATCCAGGTCCAAGGTTCTCTCTCCTCAGAACCTATAGCTCTTCTCTAAACATTGAACTACCTCACAGTAGGATGAAGACATAAATATTAAAATAGAGAAAAGTTGCTTTCAGTCCCTTTGAGCTTGGACAGTATTGACTGTGTGAGGTGTGGGAAAAATCTGGCCAAGTGATGGACCTGTGGGCAGGCAAGCAGGCAGGACATGTGGGTTCTCTAGCCTGGGCATTGCCATGGATTTAACATGGATGACACTGGACAAGTCTCTGAGCTCTCTAGGCCAGTCTCTCCAGTCTGCCTGTGCAACGAGGGGCTGGTCTCCTGTAATACAGTATTTGAATTTGGAAATTCCACCCAGCTACCCATGACAATGGTGCATAATGGCGAAATGGCCACAAGAGGGCAGGCAACTTCTTCAGCTCAGAAGTTTGTAGACTAAACAAACAAGTAAGCTGTCTTCAAAAAGAAATACAAGGTAGTTTACCCAAGAGCACACTACAATATGGCAGCATAATAGGAATTTCAAAAAGGTATGTGAATTTCCAGCCTGGGGGGGAGGTCAGGAGCCCTAAGACCAGGAGGGGTGGTAAGGAGAGAGCTGGTGGACAGCAGGGGAGAGGCTAAGAATGTATTTTAGTTATTTCAGTCACATTAAGAGGATGGGAAGAGGAGAGAGGGTCTTTAGGGGACAGCCATGGACTGCATGTGTTTCCCCCAAGTTACGGGGGTGGGGAGTGCAGAACAAGACTGGAGTTTAGGGGAAGTGGGAATGATCCACTTGGCTTCCTTCCCTTCCCCGGCATAGATTGAAAAGTAGAGAAACTGTGGCAGTTTCTCTAGGGTTAGGGGACCACTCCTACAACTCAGGAGGGCACAGCAAATAGGCAAGGATCACCCGATATCCTTTTCTCTCCTCTTTGCCTTCCAGTAATCTAGTTTCAGGGCCCAGGAAAGATGATGACCAACATATAAGCAGTTACCTGGGGTTCAAAGGGTTAATCTCCAAGAATTCATTCTTTAACATCAGCCACAGCCCTTATCTCCTCATCCTCTCCCTGAGCCTCAGATTGGCAGCTTTCCTGAATTCCTTCTTTAGTGTAATTGATTAGGGCCCTGGGACCTAGGCCCAGAGCCAGTCCCCTGCTCCCTCCGCAGGTCCTAGAGTCTAGGGCTTGTTCTGAGAGAGGACATAAAGTGGCCTTTCCCTGGATCTCTCTCTCCCCGCAGGATGTGGGCCCTAGAACTAAAGATCCTCTGTCTTTCCCTGCCACACCCCCCTCCATTGTAACTAAAACAAGGGGATTCCTTGTGTCCCAGTCTCCGGGCAGGTCCTTGTGACCAAATGGTGGAGGGTTTGGGGGAGGGTGGGGGAGAGGGAAATAACAGGATTAGAGAAGAAGGCACACACCTCCTCACTTTGGAAATTCTGGTACACCTCCAGAGCTCTGAGACCTCAAGCATGTCCTCCCTCTGGTTCCCATCAGCAATGGGGAGAAGAGGCTGGGGGACTCATCTGCATATAAAAGGCCTGAGGCCTGAAGTGGAAGTGGAAATTGAGAAGGTGTAGAGACACAAAAGCTGAATCTCCTGGCAGTCAGATTTGGAGCCAGAATACAATAGGGGCGACCCAGGGACAGGGTAAAACAGGGGACTGTGGCAGGGCAGGCCAGACTTTGAGAGCAGTAGGGGGAGGCCCTGGCCAACCTCCCTCCCGGGAAAGCACAGACACAGGAGTGCTGGGATAAAATGTGAACACCCTGTTTAAAAGGTATGAACCTTTCTGAAAAGAAGCACAGACATCTAACAGTGGGAAACTTCCTTGCCAGGAGGGGTGTTATGCTCTCCCTCACAAGAAGCAATGGTATGCAGAATAAGTCGCATGGTCTCACTTAGCAATAGGAGTTCAGACACTGCCATTCGGACCTATCACCATCAAAGGGCTGGTACAGTGGAAAGACTAATCCATCCTGGCAGGAAATGACATCACTCACCAAACAAGATACAGTGATTCTACCAACCCCAGAGATTTCTGGGCAGGCCAATCCATGGAGGGGTGGCCCTGAGTGTGCATGTCCCTCAGCAATCCTGCATCTCGGCCAAGAGGGGAGGCCAAGGCTCCTAGATATTGGATGAGATTGTTATACCCCCATCTCTTCCTCAGTGATCTCCTAAGTGTCCTAAATCCCTCAAATCCTTACCTAGTTACAGGGCAAAGGGGAAGAGAGAACATTACACCAGGAGCCACAGGTCAAGCCTCTAGAGTCAATGTATCTGTGGAAGTAGCTCTATGGACCCAGTAGTTGAGGGATAAAGGCATAGCCTCCCCACAGACCAGAGGGATGGTGAGGCCAGGTTTCCCTGATAACTGATTTCAGTGCAGCCTCTTTCTAGTCCCAGATTGAGGGAGAATCAATTTCAAGGGAGACCAGGGCCTAGTGGAGAAAGAGCCACAGCAGTACAAGAGTGGAAAAGTTGTTACAGGAAGGTCACATCATCCTGGCACTGCCCCCAGTACCAGTGGACCTCAAAGCCCAGCTTGGCACTCTCATCCTCTGGTGACTCAGGAGGTCCACTCTGGAGCCCCTCGCCTGGGGGCTTCCACACAGCCCTCAAGCTCCCTAGCTTGGCAGCTGTCAGGTCCACCTCCGTCCTAGCCCTCTCCCCGCCAGGTATAACCTTTGCCCAGTCCATCTCAGGGCGGGGAGCACTGAGGGGGCCCTGTTCATCCAGCTCGCCAGGGGCCACGGTGTCCAGGAAGCTGCCAATGGAGACACTGTCCAGCCGGTCAGTGGAGCTGATGTCTGGCAGGCTGTCCCAGCTGCCTCGCCTTGAGCGGCCTGGACTCCCACCTGTCAGGCTATATTGGCTGCTGGTGAGACTGCTGCAGTGGCTGGTTAATGTTCCCCGCTCTTCCAACAGCCAGCGCACTGCCTCAATGCCCTCGTTCAAAGTCACCAGCTGCTGTAGGATCTTCACGTCGATGGCTCGTAGGTAAGCCTGGAGGAAAGAGAGAAAGAATCAGGTTTTGGGCTGTGAGTTTCCCAAATGTTTCCAGAGGCCCCTACCTTGTAGTCCAACCAACTATATTTTCACTTTCAAAAAGCATGGACATAGGGTCTAGAGTGTGGTCCTTAGAAGCAGACAGGTTACTGTTTTAAAACCTCACCTCTGCCACTGATTATCTGTATCACCATGGCCAACTTTCTTACCTATTTTGAGGCTCCATTTCCTTGTTTGTAAAATAGGGCTAACTCACTCACCTCACAGGGTGGCTGTAACAATTTTGAGATGTTCTCTATTATGTACTCAGCACAGTGCCTGACACAGAGAAAGGTCTCAGTAAACGTTAGACACAGGATCTGGCAGAAGTAACGCCTGCTTGAGTGTGGTTGGTAGGGTAATAATATGGGTGTAATAATGTATAGTTTTAATTTGAACATTTCACCTAAAGTGTCATATGGTGTGCTTGAGTATGATATTGTTATGTTACAGAATTACAAGTGTATGGTTTTGTAATAAAAGATTGTGTGATAAAAAGGGGACATTATTTGTGCCGGACCCTGTATTAAAATCTGATCCTACTGAGCAGTGAACTTCATAGACAGGGTGTTACCATTGACTATTGAACCAGTCCAGATTCACCAGTAAGACTTAGAAACAGCCAAAGAATAGTTTGATAGGAGACCAGGTGTTACACGGGAAGTAGACTGGACCAAAAGAAGGCAAAAGCTGGGGAATAAAGAGGGAGCTAATCTGGTCCTCCAGTCACCTCAGAGCATTAGCAGCCATTGTTAAAGGAGGGAAGAATTGGCTAGGGCTTCACAGAGTCAGAACCCTTCTGACTGGAGACTCAGAGCTTCCCTCCACCACACCCTACTCTCCCTGTTTGTACTGGTAGAGTAAGTCTGACTTACTGGGTAATCTCCAGGGTCCCTTCCAACTCAGATGCACTGAATTATCTTCCCCAAGCACAAGTCTGAACCTGTTTCTCCCTGACTCAAGAGCCTTTACGGGCTTTGCACTGCTCTTAGAAAATAAAATCTGAACACTTTAGCAGTTGGCATTCAAAGGCTGTCATAACATGGCTCTTTCCATCTCTCTAGCTTCACCTCTAACATACCTCCCTGGGAACCCCAGGTCCTGCCACACATGACTTAAATTTCCTTTTATTTAGTATTACTTCTAATCAAAGGAATAGACAGCTGTAGATTAAAGAGGCAAACAGTTCTGCAAGATTTTTTATGAAAAGTTCCATTATTCTAAATCCTACTTCCCAGAAACAACTATTAATTTTTATATGTTTATTTTGGTACTTACCTTCTAATTTCCAAATAACATGCTACTTACTGATTTTTAAGTCTTAGGTGTTTTCTATTGGCTTCCCACATGATAGAAGGTTAAGGATTTAACTCTCGCATCCTACTCCCCATTCCTCTGCCATACCAGCGCCCTCCCCATCTCCCCATATATGCAGTGATAGATGCAATATATGCAATAAATTAATTACTCAGTGTTTGCCTTATCAGACTTTAGAAATGCTATTCACAGCTAAGCCATGTGGTTTACTACAGTTACTTTTCATTGCTTACAACTTTATATCTTCATAGGAAGTACACTTGTTGAAGCCCACATGTTTTAAAATGTCGTTATTCTCTCTTCACACTGTTGACAATTTTGCTGGGCATAGAATTCTAGGTTGAAAATAATTTTTCCTCAAGATTTAAGACCCTGTTTCATTTTCCTCTAATTTTCAGTGTTACACTTAAAAAATCTGATGCTACTCTGATCCCTGATCCTTTGTAAGTGACTGTCTTCCCACTCTTTATGGAAGTTGGTAGGATCTTCTCTTTGTTCCCAGTGTTCTAAATTATCACAGTAATTTGACATGGTGGGTCATTTTTATCCATTGATTTGGCCACTTGCTGGGCCCTTTTATCTGGAAACTCATGTCCTTCACCTCTACATTTCCTTTTATTACGTCTTTAATAATTATTTCTCCTGCATTGTTTCTTGGCCTTTTGGCCAAGATCAAGTGCAATAATTACCTTTTAAAGACTTTATGTATTTATTTTTAGAGAGAGGGGAAGGGAAGGAGAAAGAGAGGGAGAGAAATATCAATGTGTGGTTGCCTCTCACATGCCTACCACTGGGGACCTGGCCCACAGCCCAGGCATGTGCCCTAGACTAGGAATCAAACTGGCGATCCTTTGGTTTTCAGGCCCGAGCTCAATCCACCAAGCTACACCAGCCAGGGCTAATAATTATTTCTCCTTTAATATCTTTCTGTTCTTTCTTGAAATCTTATTATTTAGACAGAGGGAAACATGGGCTAATTTTTTTTCATCTTTTCTTTTTCCATCTCTATATTTGTTCTAGTTTCTGAACTATTTTGAACCTTTGTATTGAATTTTTCTTTTTTTTCTTTTTTTTTGCTATCATGTTTTCATTGCCCAGAGTTGTTTCTGGATTTCTGAATGTTTTCCCTTTTTATACCTTCCTGTTTTTGTTTACTGTGCAATATTCTCTTTTATCTCTTTAAAGATATAACTAATGAATTGTATAAGTTCTCATTTCCCTGTATCATCTCATTTTATTCTATTCAAGTTGTGTCTTTTTGTTTGTTTAGGTCTACATGGTTAGAGGGTCTTATCAGATATTTTATGATATTTAGCTACTGCTCACACTTCAGAATGGTCTTTATTTTTTTAATGTATTTTATTGATTATGCTATTACAGTTGTCCCATTTCCCCCCTTCTCTCCCCTCCACCCTGTACCCCCCCTCCCACCCACATTCCCCCCCTTTAGTTCATATCCATGTGTCATTCTTATGAGTTCTTTAGCTTCTACATTTCCTTTACTATTCTTGCCCTCCCCCTATCTATTATCAACCTACATTCTATGCTACTTATTCTCTACACCTTTTCCCCCTCTCTCCTCCCACCCCCCTGCTGCTAGCCCTCCATGTGCCCTCCATTTCTGTGGTTCTGTTCCTGTTCTAGTTGTTTACTTAGTTTCTTTTGGTTTTGCTTTAGGTGTGGTTAATAATTGTGAGTTTGCTGTCCTTTTACTATACGTGTCTTTTCTTTATCTTCTTTTCTTAGATAAGTCCCTTTAGCATTTCATAAAATAAGGGCTTGGTGATGATGAACTCCTTTAACTTGACCTTATCTGAAAAGCACTTTATCTTCCCTTCCATTCTAAATGAGAGCTTCGCTGGATAGAGCAATCTGGGATGTAGGTCCTTGTCTTTCATGACTTGGAATATTTCTTTCCAGCCCCTTCTTGCCTGTAAGGTCTCTTTGGAGAAATCAGCTGACAGTCTGATGGGAACTCCTTTGTAGGTTACTGCCCCCCTTATCTCTTGCTGCTTCTAGGATTCTCTCCTTCGTTTTTACCTTGGCTAATGTAATTATGATGTGCCTTGGTGTGTTTCTTCTTGGGTCCAACTTCTTTGGGGCTCTCTGAGCTTCTTGGATTTCTTGGAAGACTGTTCCCTTTGCCAGATTGGGGAAGTTCTCCTTTATTATTTGTTCAAATATGTGCTCCATCTGTTGCTTTTCTCCTTCCCGTTCTGGTACCCCTATAATTCGGATGTTGGAACGTTTAAAGGTGTCCTGGATGCTCTTAAGCTTTTCCTCGATTTTTTGAATTCTTATTTCATCATGCTTTCCTGCTTGGTTGATTCTATCTTCCTTCTGGTCCACTGTATTGTTTTGAGACTCAGATTCCTTCCTTTCACTATTGGCTCTCCTCCGCGTATCTTCCTGCATCTCTTTTATGGTAACCTGCATCCTTTCATCTAAATTGCACCCAAAATCAACCAATTCTGTGAGCTTTCTGATCACCAGTGTTTTGAACTGTGCATCTGATAGATTGGCTATTTCTTAGTCACTCAAAAGGATGAGTGCTGGGGGACTGATCTGTTCTGTTGGATATATGTCTTATGTCTTTCCCTGTCTCTGGTTGCTCTTGTTACGGTGCGGGGGCGGAGCCTTAGGTGTTCACTGAGGCTGGGCACCCTGGTCGCTAGATTGTGACATTATATGTGTGGGCGGGGGCGGAGGCGGGAGGGGACAATGGCGATAGTTTCGTTCTCCCGGGCTCAGGCCCTTCCTTGGGATCCTGGGCTGCGAGCTCTGCCCTGGTCCACAATCGCTGCGCCACAGGGTCGACCAGCCGCAGCTTGTGTACTCAGGGATCACTGCTGCGTTCTTGCGCCCCGGATGGCTGTCGCACTGGTTTCGTGCCAAATTTTCCCCGACCTCCACGCGCCGCCGACCCGCGCCAGCCCCGCGCCGGCCCAGCTCATCGTCTCCTACCAGTCTGGATGTACGGGTTTACTTCAACTTCTTGGCTGTCCAACTTCCATTCAGATAAATCCTGTCAGTTCTGAGTGATATTCTATCTGTAAATTATTGTTGTTCTAATCTTGGTTGTGCGAGGAGGCACGGTGCGTCCACCTATTCCTCCATCTTGCCGGAAGTCCACCCAGAATGGTCTTTAAAAAGCTGATTGGAAACTCTGAGTGAATGTGTGAGGCTTGCCAACTCTGAATCTCACTAAGGGTTATCTGGCTGGGCTGTTCGATTGGGTAAGGCCTGAAGTCAGTATTTTTTGTTTTCTTTCCCCCTCTGGTTCATCATAGTCATCATATTATACCCATCTAGTGAGTATAATGTAAACAAAGTTGACAATGTTCTGGAAGCCAAGTAGGGAGAAAGGCTGGGAGGAGTATTTCATAACATTTAGTACATTTTCATGTAATCCCTTCTGTCTTCAACTTTGCTTGGTATTTCCCAATTTGGAGACCTTCAGTTCTATTTTTTTTTAAAGATTTCATTTATTTATTTTTAGAGAGATGGAAAGGGAGGAAGAAAGAGAGGGAGAGAAACATTGATGTGTGAGAGAAACATCAGTTGGCTGCCTCTTGCATGCCCCCAACAGAGGACCTGGCCAACAGCCCAGGCATGTGCCCTGACCAGGAATCACACTGTAA